AAAACATTTTCCCACATACGTCCGGCGATAAGCTCAGACAATATAATTGGGCACCTTAACTCCCCATGTGGGTACCAACACACACAACCACATCAAAACCGACTCTTAACCTGGACTCATGCTCAATTTGCCAAAATTTAATTCAATCAACAAGTATTCAACATTGTATGAGATGAAATACATACATAACATTCAAGAAGAATCAATTCCCAAGCCTCAATTTCAATACCATAGCATTATTCATATATTTCATCTCTTTATTATTCACAACATCTCAAGAATTCAAAAAAAATTCAATCTTAATACTATGTTCTTCTCAATTTTGGAACTAGGGTTTTATCAAATTTCAGGCTTTCTCCCCATCTTCATAGATAAGTATCTTCTTAACATTAATATACATATGTTGAGAAAAGATTTGGAAAAATGTTAATAAAAGTTGAGTAATATGTTCTCTTTGTATGAAATAAGAGTTTATCTAACCCAATCGGCAAATTAGATTTCAATTCACAATAATACCATAGATACATCTTCAAAACAAAGAAATACTAAGTTAAATGTAACCCTACCTTAAGCTATGTGCAAATAGACCAAGCTTCTAAGAGAATCTTTCGTAAAAGTAGAATCCAATCGGTAAGAAGGAAGATCTCCACTTGTACTTCACTCCTTACAAGTGATTTAGGTTGGATCTTAGAAGAATGAGGAGTATTTTGGGGTAAAAACTTAGGGTTTTTTAGAAGGAGAAATAAGAAGAAGAAGAAGAAGAAGAAGAAGAAGATAGAAAGAAAGAAAGGAGTAAGAAAAAAGATCTAGAATGTCCCTTTTTAAATTGTTGATTTCGTGCATACCGCTTGAACGAACAACACAATTGCGAAATGATCGCTCGAGTGATCATTCCACCGCTCAAGCTAAAAATGAAAATTCTAGGAAGTTTTGCAGAGCCACAATGAAACTACTAAGAGTTCACATTCTGCGCTCGAGCGGTCTTGCTTGCAAACTCGCAAGATACTGGGAGCAACGATTTTCCGCTCGAATGACACTTTCTTCGCTTAAGCAGTCACTTAAAACAAGTTGTCACAGTATTCATTAATCTGTACAAGAAGGTGTCTGCTTATAAAGTAGAGATAAAAAGAAAAACTAACTAAGTCTTAGGAAAAAGAATGGCAAGAATGCCCCAGTCTAATTGGGCATCTACAAGCATGGCTTGGGCCTAATCAAGTCCTGCTTTGATGGCTTGGATGGATGAAGGGCCATTTTCAATTTGTGAAAGCATGGTCCTTACTTTCTGACCAAGTTGGTCCTTTTGTTGTTGCAGTAGAAGTCTTTTCTGCCTGACAATGGCTAGTTTTGCCTTAAGCCTTGACTTCTCAAGTACCAGCATTTTATCTTGCTCAGAGATATTTAAGGAGGTTTGATGAGTGAGTTTGAAGGAGGAGGATATGGTTTGGGCTTTGGCTAAGAAGTCTTTTTTGGATTGGATGTCCTAGGAGCAGGTTTGAACCATCTCTAAGAAGGTTAGCCATTCATTAATGATTCTGACTAGCAGTTTTAATTGAATGTAGTTGAAAGGATTTGGGGAAACATTTTGGACAGCAATAAGGCAGGCCAAGGCTTCCTCAGGTTAGTTAAGGGCAATTTCTTCAAGAGAAGTGTTGATGAGGTTAATAAAGGTGGTCAAGACTTGTTGGACCTCATATTGGAAGTGGTGAAGCCTCTGGGGAAGGGGTGATATGTGGTCCAAATTTTGTTAAAGAATGGCAATTTCTTCCCATATGTCTTGAGTTATGGTGATGGACTATCAACCGTAAACAGTTAGGACTTAACAAATGATGGGAACTAAAGAAGGTAAGGTTAAGAGTGTTACATGTTCATTGGTATGAGGTGGAATAGGTGCTGGTGGAGTTATGAGTTCCAGGGGTACGATTTTCCCAATTGTGGAAGCTGAGCTGGCTCAAGATTGGTTGGAGTGAGAGACTCATATGTAGGGGAGTTAATAGTGTCTCCAGTATCTTGGGTTGGGGTTGCTTCTGTGTCTGCAACTTTGGGGTTTGTGACTGGTTCATTAGTTGATGAGGGTGGTTCAATGAGTGTTTATGTCCCTGTAATAATGAGGAAAGGGTTAGTAGAATAAAGTAAAGAAAAGATGCAGAGCAACAGTTTGAATTATACTTACCATGAGTGGTTTGAAGTCCAGGTGGAGGAGACTTAATGGTTTGATCCTTTGAAGAAGTTTGTAGACTAGAAGGAGATATTTGACCATTTGTAGATGGGTCAAGGCCAATCCTCTCTTGTTACATGACGGAGGTTTGAGAATTAGTGGAGTAAGATGTTAATAGATGAGAAAAACACTGAAGGGAAGTTGATAGGCACAGTCTCTCCACGATAGAGGGCTTTCATTGGAAAAGCTCCAAGGGTAACATCCCTAAAGTCAATGGGGGTGGTTCGGAATGAGAAGGTGGAGCAGGTTTTTTGGTGTTTGTATGTTGGGCTTATTGCTGGATAGAGGGATATGAGTCTGATTAGTGGTATTAGAAGAGTTGGTAGGGGTCTCCTCATCATCAACAGTGGTGGATATGAGTATTCTTCTCCTCTTTCTCTGCAAAAGGGGGAAAGATGGGATCAAGTTGCAATGAGAGGAAGTACAATAAGTAGATAACAAGGAAAAGTACTTGATAGAGTTGGTCTGGGGGTTCTGAGTAGCTTGGCCAAGTATTCGACTGAGTGGAATGTCCTACTCATTGGGATTTGCTTCAGGCAAGAAGGCAGCAGAGGGCTCTTGTCTTTTCTTGGTTCTTGTCTCTCTTTCATTGGTAGGAGATCTGGTGGTCGCTTCACCTTTTGTGCCATTTGTGCTTGTGTTTGAAGGGCTGTGATAGAGGCTTCCATCAATTTAGGAGCAGAAAGAGTGACCTCAGGGTTGATAGTTGGGTCCATTGGGTCCTTGGAAGTGAATTTGTTTAAGTTAAAAACATTTGGTATTTATTTAACTTAAACAATGGGGCATTGTTTGTACCCATTTTTGTTGGATTGTGTCGACAAGTACACTAGTCAGGTAATGACATATGGCAGAGTCAAGATAAGGATCTTTATCAATCAGAGGATAGCTATCACCAATGAAAGTTGAATCCTGTGTGTAGAGTTGCCTAAGTAGTGGAGCAGTTATTGGCAGAGTCATAGGTTTAATGGGCAACTTGCAAGAGGAGTCATGCACGAAGTAGATGTTTCTCTTTGTTAAGGAAGGGCTAAAGGTGATAATGGACACGTGGCATCTTGTAGGAGGAGCCATTCGATAGGCAAAATGGAAGATTCAGTGGAGCTTAAAAGGGGCAGTTACAGCAGTTATGCAACAACAGTTGCAAACTTGAAGCATAATGGGATCATGAGCTAGAGAAGTAAGGAAAACTATAAAGCTAGAGATTCGCAGATAGAGAAGGAGCATCAACAACTTAACAACACATAGTTTTTAAACTTAGGAGTAGTTTATTGTAATTTAGAAGTAGTTTCTTTTGTAGTTCACAGTTTGCAACTGGGTAAATTTCACTAGTTTGATTCTGGAATTACTTTGTGTTTGCTTTGTTTACTTTTTTACTATCAGTTGTTCCAAAGAAGTTATCATACTTTTGAGACATTTGAACCAATTCCACAATTGTCTGGTTGTTCTTGTTTAATTGTTTAGTTGAAATTGTTATTTAATATTTGTTAATTGGGAGTAAGCATAATTTTTACTAACAGGTATATTTGGAACATTTGATATGTGGAATGAGTAAAACAAAAGATAAACAAATTTATAAGTGTGTACACTTGAAAAATAATATATACTGAGAGTAAATGAAGTGTGTAAATACAAATTATCCCCAATTGAGTGATAATTTTTTGTAAAAAGCACTAGCAACATTATCAATTGATTAACACATAGGGATGTAGCAACTTGGTAAGGCCTTAAGGCATAATTCTTGTGGTCCCAAGTTCTTTTCTCTTTAGGGCCAGCCATTTGGGCAATAACACATATGATTGGTAGGATGAACCTTCCAGGCCTGGATGAACTGTACTCAATGTCAGGAGTGTGAGTTCAAATATCTGCCTATGGACGAGTCACTCTTAAGGGTGACCTCTGGGGTGCTTGGGGTCTAACTCTAGAGGTCACTCTTCTGTGCTGCAGTTTTTCAATATCATCAATTGAATCAAATTGACATAAAATTTAAAATTAAAATAAAGATAAATTATAAATACTCCCCTAAAATTTACTTAAAATATGGGTTGCTCCATGTAATTTGAAAAATTATAAATACTCCCTTGTAAGAATTTTATTTAACAAAATTAATTTTAAAAAGGACAAATTACACCGGTAGTCTCTATATTTTAGCCATTGTGCCATTTTAATCCCTTTAATTTCAATTTACCCCACTTTGCCCTTAACTTTTGACTTCTCAATTTAGTTCAATTGATTAAAATTATTAGTATTTTCCTATGAAAAATGTGGACATAAATATGTTTCTAGGAGCAAATTTATAAATGTGATCAATTTAGTGAGTTAATTTTAACCAACTTAGTGATATTTTTCTGTTAAAATCTATAACAACATTATCAATTGGACCAAAGTGATTCAAATATATAAAATTACGGGTCAAAACTGAGTCAATTGAAAGTGGAGGGACCAAAATGATATAAAAGTCAAAATATAAGGATTACAAGTATAATTTGTCCTTCAAAAAATGAAATTCCTAATTGTTCTCCTATATAATAATAAAATTAGTTGAATTATTAATTAAAATATGAATATATTTTTGACATTATTAAAAACTGTTAATTGACTTAAAAATTTACTAATAAAAGAATAATTTATTATAAAATTATAGACTTCAAAGGATGGAATATAATTTCTAAAATTACAAAAAATAATTTATATTTTAAATAAATCTCAAAAAATATATTTATAATTTACATATAAAAATAAAAAATTAATCAATTAAAAATATGTAAAAAACAAAGACGGAAAGGGCAAAACTCAATTTCCTGGGAAAATAGATAGAAAGGGGAAAAAAAACAGGGGAAACGCATTGAATTGAATGAGCTCGGCCGTGGGAATTTGATAACTGGTCTCGCGTCGACTCTGTTAACCCTTTTTGTATTTCAGTTTCAGTTTCAGTTTCAGTTTCAGTTGATGGCATTCTCTATCTCCTTTAGCCGCCCTGTTTTCTCTCTCAACAACACAATCTCTTTTCACCCATCTTCTCCTCCTTCTCTGTGCATCTTCAAATTCCACCACCAGAAGAATAATAATGTCTCCAAGACGACGACGGGTTACCAGGGCTTATGTGGTGGGGTGGTGATAAACTGTTCTTCTTCTGAGCTGGGTCCCACCTCCTCTGACCCCATGAATAGCAGCAGCAGCAGGTACCCATTCACCACCACTCTTCATTTTGCTTGTATTCAGACGAGACTAGACTTGTTTTGCATTCGTATCTAGGAAAATGTATTGCGAGCGATAATGGGTTGTTTGCCAACTCTTGGACTAATTATGCCTTTTGGGTGTTTGTTAAATTTTCTGTGAGGAGGGTAGGAATGTTATGGAGGTTTTGCTAAATTTTTAGTGAGGTTTCTCCAGGCTGCTCGCGAATTTTGTGAATGTTTTACACTCCGTTTGGATTGGATGGGATGATTTGGTGAGAAATGATAAGAAAGATTATTCATTTCTCATGTTTGGTTTATAAGTTTCGTGAGAAATGATGAGACAAACAACTTCTTGTCTATTTCATTTCTCACCAAAAGCAGTCAGATTTGGTGAGAAACAAGTTAATTGGTTATAAAATATTTATAATACCAATATTGCCCTTTAAAATACGAAGAAAGGCAAAAAACATCACTCATATCTCCTTTTCACATGCTTTGCTTTCTTACTCATCCAAACATGATAGTGAGGAAACACAATCATTTCTTTCTTTCTTTTTTTTTAATTTTTTTTTATTTATTTTTCTCACCTAGATGAGAGACTACAATAATTTCTTTTCTTTTCTCACCCTTCGATGGTCTTATTAGGTCCAGATAATGAGGAGAGAGTTATGTGTTAAGTAGCTTGATAACTAACATGTAAAATATCCCATGAGATCCTTTATAAACATGAATCCTAATATGAATAATATATGAATATGTGTTAGGATGTTTTCTTGTACAATTGACATGTTGCACATATCGTCAAGTGTTTACAAAAATGTGCAAGGTGGTGAAAAATAAGCAAGGATCCACATGACAAATAAGCAAGCTTTTAAAATAAGTGTTTAAAAAGTATAGGATATGATAGTAAGTTTAGATTAACCATTTGGAATATAAGAATATTAGCTGGTAAGACTATAGAAACATTTTGATAATGTAGTAATCATAACAATTAATATGAAGGTAGAGAGAAGAATTAATGTGATAAGTGCAACATATTAAAGGACAATTTTACAATGAATTAGATGAGCAGATGCCAGAAGTACTTGTAGGAGAAAATATAATTATAGGTGGACATTTCAACGATTATGTAGAAAAAGATAAGGGTACCAGAGGGTACATAGTGGATATGGTTTTAGTGACTGAAAAAAGGTTGGGGGTGGCATCTTAGATTTCACAGTAGTATTTGTTCTTATAAAACTGATGCAGTGAAGCATGTGGAATGGATGGAAAAACACAAGGAAAAGAACAATATATAAAATAAAAATAAAAACTTTTTCTAAATTTTATTACTAACAATAACTGAAAAGCCTTGAAGACTTGCAACTCAATTTGAAGAAAACAAGTATAAGCCCATATTAGTTGTTGTCCCCTTACTTTGACAAATTTGACACATTTGCACAAGTTTTCCTGCATCTCTAGCCATTCCTGAGCAATAATATTCACCTTGGAATAACCCATTTAGATATGCCATTGGCAGTCTTGAAAGCATTTTCCATTCATCACCTGGCCGAATTTGAATTTTATGATAACCACTTTTAAGGTCAATCTTAGAGAAGATTCTTGAATTGGCAGGGCAATCCAAAATTGTCAACCAATCTTGATGATAATCTTGTTGATACATACGCCACGATTCGTCCTTCTTAAGTGCCAAAAGAGTTGGCACATTACAAGGACTAAGACTTGTCCTTATGTACTCCTTTCCCAAAAGTTCTTCCCTTTCCTTTGGAGACATTTGATAGGATGGTTTGTTTGGAAGTGCCAAACCAGGCACCAAATCAATACAACATTGGATATCCTGCATAGGAGGCAATTCAGAAGGAAGCTCTTGCTGAAACACATCAGAATATTCCTCTAAGAGTGTGCTTACAACTGTATTACCCTCAGGTTTCTCAGTTTCATCCATATGTAGCAACAAAACCAACACCAAAAGGACCCTAGATTCCCTACTCGCTTCCAAGAACCCCTTAAAGGCAAATTTATCCACACAAAAAAATAAAAATAAAAATAAAAAATAAAAAATAAAAAAAGAACCCCTTAGAGGCAAGGGAAGTGTTGGAAGGCAATTTTGTAGTGACCTTTGCCCTCATGGGTAGCAATGTACAGTGTTTCTCATCCTTGAGAATGGTGTAGGTATTATGTTTGCCATCATGCAAATTTGTCTATTATATTGCCATGGTCACCCGAGTAGGATATGACAAGCGTCCATGGCAACAAATCGCACCAAACCTCAGCAAAATACTTCTTTTGGATAGAAAACTTCATCAAACATCTCTTGGTAACCTTGAACTCATTACCCTTCTTGAACCAAGAGTGTGTGTAAGGATGAGGGCGGTCTTCCATTTTGAGGCTCAACTTGTTAACTACCTCTTGGGAGACCACATTCTCACTGTTTAGCAAGAATGTATTATTTAATTATTATTAAGGGTAGATTAGTTCTTTGCTTATTTTTATGGTTTATCTTTTATTATTTATATTCTTCTCTTGTATTCACTCATGTTAACTTAATAATACGATATCTATTTTTTGTCTTCAAGTTCTCACTCACTACTTCCACATTCACTATCAATGATCATGTTGCAAACATGGTCTCCAATGTTGCAAGTAGTGTACAAAATGTTGATACGCAATTAATCCTCTTCATAAACCCTGTGAAGTTTGCAGACTTCACAAAACTTTGTATGGTCTCAAACAAACTCCTCGGGCTTGGTTTGAGAAATTTTCTATGGTGGTTTACGCATTGGGTTTTCGTATAAGTGATCATGATTCGACTCTTTTTTTTTTTTTTTTTTCTGGCTGAACTTTTGCAGGGGAAATTATTCTTTCCTTATATGTTAATGAAATGAAATGATCATTACAGGCGATGTTTTTAAAGTGTTCTCAACAGTTCAATTGCACCATCACTTTGAAATGAAGGATCTTGGTTCACTTCTTTAAGTTTTGGGGATTGAAGTGGCTTCCTCTCTTAAGGGGTATCTTCTTTCTCAATCCAAATATGCAACTAAGAGTGGACATTGGTCTATTGGCCCCGCCCAATCCAACCCTATTTTTTTAGGGCTTGAGAAGGTTGTTTTTGCCCATAGGGTCGAGCTAACATTTTTAGCCCAATATATTAATAGGCTGGGCTTGGGATTTATACTTCCAACCCGGCCCGGCCTGGCCTACTCTAGCCTGTTATTAAATTAATTAATTAATGATAATAAATTAAAAAATATATTCTTTGTTAAGATCTGTACTTTATCTTTGTTGATTTTATTGAAATTTACATTTGTGGTGATGCGTGATTGAATTTATTTAAGAAATCTTTCAATTTATACACAAAATCCTTCAATTTATAATGATCTCAGTATATTTATTCAAGAAGTATAATGTATGATTGAATTTAATTACGGAATGTTTTATTTGTTTTTTTAACATATAGCTCGATGGGTGGGTTTGGGATTTATAATTATTTTTTGGGCTGGGCTTGGGCAAATGAAGATGTCCGACGTTCGGGTTAGGCCGGGCCTAACTTGGCTTGGGTAGACACAAAACCCTTATTATGTAGTGACGGCCTAGCCCGGCCCAAACCCTAACCCAGTCCAATGAATGTCCACCCCTATATGCAATTGATGTTATTCAGAGGGTTGTGTTGACAAATTTCAAGGCCGTTGACACTCTTGTGGAACTTTGAGGGAGTTCCTTGGTGCTTAGGAAGTGATTTTAATATTTCTAGGTACCTTGTTGAGATGGCATGCACGTCTCTAGACCTATGAAGGGGTTCTCAAACTTCAGTAATGATTTAGATATGACGGATCGACAAGTTCGGGTAATACTTTACATGGTTCAATAATCATGAGGCTTCTTCAATGTCTCGGGTTTACAAGTTCTTGGCTTTTGTAGATTTTAGGAGTACGTTTTTGTTGTGATGTAGAGCCTTCTTCCTTGTGGATTGGAGGAGCAATTTCCGGCTGCGGTGTAGAACCTTATTCCAAGGATGGTTTCAGATCATTCTTCTATTATGTTGGATTGTAGCCGCATAAGGAAGGGTTAGGATCCCTTTCAGATTTGAGAATATGTGGCTTCATGCAGAAGGGAGAAGAAGTTTCAAAGTGGGTTCGCAAAGATGTAATAGGGAAGAGTTTGCATTTTGGGAGTTTAGAAGGCGAGGGTCTTGGAGGATATTTTCATTCTAGACGAGTTGGAGGAAAATAGGGGTTTGATAGAGGAGGAATGATAACAAATAGCTAAAAAAATGAGGAATTCAAGAGAATTGCAAAGATGGAGGAAATTAGTTGAAGGCATAAATTTGGACAATTATGGCTCAAAGAAGGGGGTGTGAATACTAGATTTGTTTATAAGATGGCTATTGTTCATTGACGATGTAACCTTATAGTGAAAATTCGGAAAGGTGATAGGCTCTTGTTAGTAGAGGAGGATATTAGGAGTGGCATTGCTGGCGTTTTTGAGTTGTATTCTTACTCCGTAGGGTGGCGTCCTAGATTGGATGGTATAATCTTCAGAGATTTCAGTAGAGGACGGAATTTGTCTCAAGTGTCCTTTTTCAAAGATGGAGATGGTGGCGGTGGGTTTGAAGTCCCTTAATAGGGACAAGGCTCAAGGTCAGATGACTTCACATTAGCTTTTCTCCTATGGTACTGGGATGTTGTTGGGGAGGAGGTTATGGGCTTATTTTATTCGTTCTTTGTGTCTGTTTGGAGAAGAGTTTGAATGTTTCGTTTGAGGCCTTAATCCCTGAAAAAAGTGGATAAAGGGTATTAGGGATTTCAGACCTATCCGTCTTCTTGGAGAGGGGTGCACAAACTGATGGTCAAGGTTTTTGCCTTGTGCTTAAAGAAATATATATATTTTTTTGATAACCGGGTGTCTGGGCTAGTTTACGTGCAACTAATTGTGCTTAAAGAATTCTTGCCTAGGGTGGTTTCCAATTTTAAATAATGCCATTATTTATTTATGTATTTATCATTTTGGGTGGAGTAGAAGGTCGGGTGGATATGTAAGCTTGACGTAAAAAAAGGCTTATGATAATATCAATTAAGAGTTGCTTTTGTATTGCTTGGATAGGTTGGAGTTTGGCCTAAAATGGAGAAATTAGATTCTATTTTGCATATGTACTATACGACTCTCAATTCTTGGCAATGACTCTCCAACTTTCTTTTTACAGATTTTGAGTGGTTTGCATAAGGGGGAACCTCTGTCTCCCCTATTTTTCATTTGGTCATGGAGTTTTTGACTAGAATGTTGGATAGGGGCATATAGGACGTTTCCTTGAAGTATTTGAGGTTGGAAGAGTTGATTGGTCAGTTTTGGTTCTCACTTGTTCTATGTAGATGGCACCATTATTTTTTGTGGGGCAGATACTCGACAGTGAGGATATCTTCAAGTGTTCTCATTAGTTTTGAGGTAAAATCTAGGTTGAAGGTGAATCTTGGGAAATTAATTTTGATTCTGAGAAGAAGCATTATCTAAATGAGGGGCTTACATCCATCGAAAGTTCTTTATTGAGCTTTGCCTATATCCTTTATGCCCTTGTTACCGTAAAAAATTCTTGAAGAAAAGATGTATTATATTTTTAATAATGATTACATGACTACTGAATCTCTTAAATAGAGATGCAGAAAATCGATATAGAAAAACTACTAAATAGGAAACTTCTAACCTAAATTACAATAAGAAAGATACCAAAAATACAATATACGTTTTACACCCCTCAAACTTATAAGGTGAGCCCCAAGAGCATTGAGAGTTTGCTAAGCAGAAACTGGAAGTGGGCAAAGTTTGAGTATTAGTAAAGAATTTAGCAAGCCGCAAGGCGGAAGGGATAGTGCCAAATTAAAGATGGTGATGCACAAAGTGGCAGTCAATCTCGATATGTTTAGTTCACTCATGGAATATTGAATTGTGTGCAATTTGAATGGCACTCTGGTTATCACAATAAAGAGGAGTTGGAGAAGGCTAAGAACTCCCAAGTCAGCGAGAAGCCAATGAATTCAGCAGTAGCATGGGTCATAGCCTGATACTCGACCTCAACAATAAACTAAGCAATAACAGTTTGCTTCTTGCTCTTCCAAAAGATAAGGGAATCACCACCAAAAAAAAAAAAAAAAAAAACAAAACAAAACACACACACACACACACAAAGGCCAGTGGTTGAATTGCGATTAGAAACTTCACCAGTTCAATTAGCATCAGCATAGGCATAGGCATAGAGGCCTGAAGAGTTAGAGAAGAGGTAGAAGACAAGAGTAAACAACAATAACTCGAATCAAAGCAGCCCAATGAGTAGTGCTTGGAGCAGAAACAAACAAACTAACCACATTCATGACATAGACAATATCAGGGCAAGTCACAGTGAGGTAGACCAAACAACCAACCAACTCCCAATATAAAGTAGGATCCTCAAGAGGAGCACTATTAGTAGTGAAGAACTTGGCATGAAGTTCAATCAAAGGTTTAGTTGTCTTCGTATTAGTGAGACATGCAGGATGGACAACCTCATTGGCATACTTAACTTGGGATAGAAAATAACCTTTTGGAGAAGATGCTAGTTCAATACCAAGAAAGTATCGTATAGGACCCAAATTATGTATTTCAAAAGTCCAAAACAAATGTGTAACCATGGTAATGGTAGGGGTGTAAATCTGGCCCGGCTCATGTCGGGCCTCGCGGGCTCCCATCAAAATTCGGGCCGGCCCACGGGCCAAAAACTTAAGCCTGGGCTTAGGCCCAAGCCTAGGGGTATTCAGGCATTGGGCGGGCTAGTGGGCCGGCCCAATGGGCTTGGGCGGCCTAACCTTTTTTTTCTACCAAAATTTTATTATTTTTAATTGAAAAATACATCAGGACTTGGTGGAGCCCGGCCCTAAGTGGGCCTTAAGCGGGGCTGATGGGCTGGGCTGGGCCGGGCCGGGCTTCAAAACAATGGCCCAGTCCCTAGCCCAGGGACTCGGGTTGGGCTCAGGCTTGGGCCCAAACGGGCCGGGTCCATCTCGAGCAGCGAGCTGGCTTCGGGCCACCCACAGACCGCGGGTCATTTTTACACCCCTGGGTAATGGATGAAGAATCAGACCCAATGATGATCATATCATCAACATATCAGAGAGATATGTTGATGACTCATGACTCACAAACCAGAGAGATGGAATCACCAATCACAAACAACGATGTGCATTTACTGACATGTCACAATCTAGAGAGATGAACCAAAGATTGAGGAGGGAGATGACTTAGAGTAAGCAAATAGCTTCTAGCATTTCGGCGGTGGTGGCTTTGATACCATATAAGAATTCTGGAAGAAAAGATGTATTATTTCTTAATAAAGATTATGCAGCTATTGAATCATTTCAGTAGAGATGCACAAAATCGAAATAGGAAAACACTAAATAGGAAACTTCTAATTTAAATTACAATAAGAAAGATACAAAATATATAATACACGTTTCATAGTTATCATCCCACTTATGTGCCAAAGAGGCTTGAGTATCCGTAGAGAGATTCCATTTTAGGAGGAATTAGAGAAGAATTCAAGTGCCATTTGGTGGATTGGAGCACAGGTTGCTCTCCTATCAGAGAGGATGTCTTGGTGTGCAAAGACTTGAAATCTTTAACCAAGCTCTTTTGGGGAATTTGTTTTGGAGGTTTCCTTGTGAAAGGGATAGGCATTGGAGGAGGGTGGTGGAGTTGAAGTATGGAGGTATGTGAGGGGATTGGTCTTCATCGGAGGTGTCCATATCTTTGAAGTGTATTCAAACTGGGTGGACTATGTTTTTGAGCCAAGCTCAATGCATTGGTGGGAGTGGGCACAAGATTCTTTTTTGAAGTCATCATTGGAGTGGAGAAGAGGATTTGGAGCTCTCTTTGCCTTTTCGTTCTAGTATTACGACTAAAAGAAATGCTTCCATTAGTGATTATTTTAGAAGTGAGGGAAATCAAGTTTCTTCAGATGTGGCTTTCCCTGGGAGTTGATGGAATTGATGAGGATTTTTTGTCTTTTTATATACAACTGCCTCTCTGCTCTATGTGGAGGGAGAGGACATACTGAGTTTTTGTTGGTTCTAGGGTGTTGTTGAACAGTCCTTGAACCAATTTTTGGATTTTGTAGTCATTGGAGTAGGTTGATGTTTAGGTGACTGTTGTTCCTTTTTCTTAGCCTCTGTAGACTGATGGCATCCCCTTGCTGCCTTTCTGATTTTTTTTTTATTATAGACTCTTCTCTTATAAAAAATAAACAAACATAAAAATAAAATGTTGCTTTTTATGCCCGTCATCTTAGCATTTGGTATCCTCTTTGTTAACTTCGTCTTTTTCAACAGGAAACCTCAAATACCTTCTATGGCCCCTTTTAATGGCAGAATGAATGAAGTTGGCATGTCGAATTCGTCATATAAATGGCGTAGGGTTTTGCTTAAAGTAAGCGGAGAAGCACTTGCAGGAGATCAAACACAAAACATTGACCCAAAGGTTGCTTATGAAAGGCATGCTGCTTAGTATGTTGTAATACCTTTATTTTCGTGACGGAATTAGAACATGATATTAGTGTTGTAATGTAGGTTACAATGTCCATTGCAAGAGAGGTTGCAGCTGTAACTCGGCTTGGCATTGAGGTAAATTTGACACCTGCTTGTGTATATATCTGATTCAAATGCTTGTTCAATTATGGAGCATATATTTTTGGAGTTTTGGAGTTTTATTGGTAATTAATAATACATTTTATAAATTTTGTAGTAAATTCATATTTAATCATTATTAAGGGCTTAAAATTACTTTGGTTTTGTGTTTAATTGGAAGATATTACAATGGCTTCGATTGACTTAAATAATGAAGTTTGTATTTATTTATTTATTTTTCCAAAGAGGACTTGATGTTTGTTAAAAATTAGACTTAGGAAATGGTAGGTTGTCGATCTAGAACCCATTCGGAATAAATATGTTAAGCAATTCAGGAATTTTTATTTTAGTTTATTTTATCTTATTTTTTTAATACCATATTAGCTAATTCTTTGATCATTCTATTGCTTGGGAGAATTTTGGTTAGTTGTAACTTTAGTTGTAGTGATTAAAAAAATGAAATCAGATATCTACTCAAGAATCTGAAGGTTCTGATTAGCTTTCAAAGAATGGTGTCTGAGTTATTATTGGCTTGTGTTTCAGGTCGCAATTGTTGTTGGTGGGGGAAATATCTTCCGTGGGTCCTCTTGGGCAGGAAGTAGTGGCCTCGACCGCTCATCTGCTGATTACATTGGGTATTCATCTTAGCTAGATTTTATTTATTTATTTATTTTTCTCACTTTCCTAGTGTTCTTGTGGAGTGTGTTTGGTTTGAATTTTTTGGATTAAGTTTTTTGAAAGCTGAGTTTTTTGGTTTTCGTATTCTTTTGTTTTTAGTGAATATTTTTTAAATTTTAAACATTTTTTTTGCTGTTTTAGATGCACCTTAGTTAGAGGTATCTAAAAAGTAAAAAATTTGTGAAAAAATATTTTAAAAAATTAATAAATACATAGAAATACAAAAAATGTACTGAATTCTTGTATTTTTTTTGTATTTTTGGTATTTAGTGAATTTTTAAAAGATTTTTTTTACATTTTTTTACTTTTTAGGTGTATTTATGTTAGGTGTGTTTAAAAAGTAAAAAAAATTGCTTAAAATATTAAAAAAATTCAGTAAAAACAAAAAAACACGGAAAATAAGAAAGTAGAATTTTCTGAAAAGTGTTTTGGAAAACTGGTAACCAAGCACTGTTTTTCAAGTCATCTGCTAGTGATTGGATTGGCTGATTCAGGATGTTGGCAACTGTTATGAATGCCATGTTTTTGCAATCAACAATGGAGAGCATTGGCATCCCGACACGAGTCCAGACTGCATTTCGAATGTCTGAAGTTGCCGAACCATACATACGTAGAAGGGCTGTTAGGCATTTAGAGAAAGGGAGAGTTGTGATTTTTGCTGCAGGAACTGGAAACCCATTCTTCACTACAGACACTGCTGCAGCCCTTCGTTGTGCAGAAAGTAAGCCTGTATTTGCTATATTTTAAAACTGCTACCTTAGCATTGTAATGCGTTGTATCCTTCAATTTTATAGGGAAAATGCGATTTAACTCACTATTTATATGGAAGGCTTCCTGAAACCCAAATTCTTATTAAGGAGCCTCCTAAACTATGTATATATTCCTGACCTATTCACTTCATAGTATTATCAAGATAGATTCTGAAAGCTATGAATACTTTCCTAACCTATTCACGGTATTTCTGAGCTCAGTATTGGATTCAATTGTTTATATCCAGTTAATGCGGAGGTGGTGCTGAAAGCTACGAATGTTGATGGGGTCTATGACGATAATCCCAGGCATAATCCAAATGCTTCTCTTCTGGAAACTCTAACTTATCAAGATGTGATGTCAAGGGACCTTTCAGTGATGGACATGACTGCTATTACGTTGTGCCATGAGAACAACATTCCTGGTATGGCTACATTGGCTATATTTGATTTTTTTTATTTTTATTTTTCAGAATCATTCGTACTTTCTACTTATGGCTAGATAAAAGTTAATTTGGCACTATGAAGTTTGTGCCATTTTTGTTATGGATAAGAAGGGGTGTACATATTGCAGTGACTTATTTTTTCTGTGATATAGTTGTCGTCTTCAATCTTAACAAACCGGGTAACATCTCAAAAGCCATTATGGGAGAAAGGGTTGGAACATTGATTGGAGGGACAAAGGATTCAGCACCAGTAAGGCCATAAGCAGGACGGTTTGTAATCTCTACTGCTATTGAATTTGGGCCTTAACATTTGAGGACATTTCAGTTTTGTTACAACTAGTGTCTGAGTTTTGGCACAGAAAAGCATTTAGCTCTTTACCTTTGGGGATCGAAGAGAATTTATGAATTTAGAAGTACCAATCTTGAGCATTCATATGCTCGCTCCAATGATTATGTGTATTGATGCTGACACTGTAAATATTATTGTGGAATGTAGGACTTCAATTATGCAGAACTTTGGTTAATTAACCTTTGTTAGATATTTTGTGGCAGGGCGAATAGCATCTAGCTCAAATGAAGCAAAGCATGAATCTTAGTCCATAACTTGGTAGCCTTTAGGCTGAGATGAATGGGTTAGCCCGACCCGATTGCCATTGGAGAAGTTGATAGGCTTCATCTGTGTATAGGGTAAGGCTACAAACGAACCGAATTGTTCATGAACAACTCAAGCTCGGCTGTTTAAAGTTCATTTGAGCTCGATTCGTTTACTAAGCCTTCGTTTGGCATGCCAGGCTTTTTGGCTATTTTAGCCACAAAAAGACAAAATAGGTTTTTTAACCTAATAAGACAAAATATCACATTCAACCTATAATCAATTTATTTTTTCTCTCACAAAAGTCAAAAAGCCTATTCCAAACGAGACTTTTTAGCCCCAGGCTAAATAGTCAAAAAATCAACTTACATCCCAAATGAACACAACGAACTCAAGTTTGATTTTTAGGCTCGTTTATTAATCGAGCCGAGTTCGAGTAGCCCTAAGCTCGGCTCGATAAGGCTCGTGAATATAAAAATGAATTAATTAATATTTATTTTTAATAATATATTAAATAAATTTTCAATGATCTATTTTATTTTTGTGTAAATTTACATATTTGAGTGATGAAATTTATTATTAATATAAGTATTATTATATATTTTACTCATAATTTTGCATTTTTTTAATCTTATTAAGTAAATTAATTTAAATTTAATTTCTTTTTAAGCTCGAGCTCAAGCTGAAACTCGGCTCGTTTATATAATCAAGCGAGCTCGAGCCGAGTTCGAATTCAACAAATATTTGACGAGCCGAGCTTGAGTTTGATTTTTGAAGCTCGATTAGAGCTCGGCTTGAGCTCGAGCTCGACTAATTCTTAATAAACGAGTTTAAACATTTAAAAATTCGGTTTGGTTGCAGTCTTAGGTTAGGTTCTTAAGAATATGATTTATCCTTAAGAGGTAGACAGGAGTGGGTTGTGTGTGTGAATGGGAATTGCAAACCCACTATGACTACTAATATAAAAGCCACAAAGTTCATCCAGTAAGGGTAACATAGTTCTAAATACTCGAACTCCAGTGTTTTCCTTGTTATTGATCCTAAAACTAACTTCTACATCGAAGGGGTTTTCTTCAACATACACCCGTTGGTGGTTTTTCGAACTCTATTTTATAAATTAAACCGTATTGTTTGTAAGGAACTAAGTTGATCATGAGGTGTTCACGTGTGGAGAAATTCAAGGTCCGTACAGATTCATTCCCACAACTATAGAAATGGAAAGATGAACCCTATCTCAACCAAAGAGAATAAGAGAGTGAAAACCCTACAAATGAAATGCGATCTGCGACAAGGAGGTGGAAGCCCTTGAGAAGGTCACACACTATCGTAAATGCAAAACTAAGGTTCCACAGGGCAACAATGGAGACAAGGAAGAGAGGGAATAGAGGGAATAGAGGAAATAAAAAGAGAGGGAGGCTAGAGGAAAAATGAGTGTTTTAAGATATGAAAGGGGATGTGGGTCACAAGGTGCCATGTTGCCAAAAATTATCTAAGTTGCGACACTCCGCTCGAGGAATGTTTTAGCAATCAAAACCTATGTTTGCAGCCAAAGCTGCTTGGGCGAAATTTATTGGCGCTTGAGTGGAAAATACTTGTTGCAACACCAAATTCTCTGGATTAAATTGTTGGGATGGAGCTCCTCTACCGTTCAGTAGGTTTCCTGAGAAAAATGGAGTAGGTCTAGATTTCAATTGCAAGAGCCAAACTCAATCTCCCTCCTCTAAACCAAGTTACAAATCAAAATCACAACGAAAAGGATTCAATTTAGCTCTACCAACATTATAGAAACGATTAGAACAAATAAACAACCAACTTAAAACATGATAACTCAAAACTGGAAATAAACAACCTAAAACCAAAAATAATTCATTAAGACTCAAATTTAGGTGCTAGAAATACTACAATAATATAATTAAATTATGAGCTCAATGCTTAAAGCCTAAGGCTCCGTTTGATTAGAAATAAATAAATTATGAAAAGTGAAATTGGTAGAAAGTAAAGTGTAAGAAGAAAAAAAAGGAAAATAAGAGATCTTTTCTTGTATGAATTTGATTATGATAAAAATTTTGTAAGAAAATAAGAAGTCTAATTATAAGTAACTACTTTTATAATAAATTTAATTTTTTTTGTATTTTCCTGTATTTTTTGCAAGAAAGTAGAAGCTTTAGTTACCACATTATTATGAGTTGTACAAGAAAATTAATTTTCTTGTAACTTCTATCAATTTCATGCTAAACAAACTTTTTTTTTTCTTTTTTCTTTTTTCCATTTCTTTTACTTTCTATTATTTTCATCCTTACCAAATTGAGCCTAAGGTTTTGTTTGGGAATAGACTATTTTAGTAATTTTTTAACTTTTTGACTAAAATATGAGGTGAAAAAATTTAATATATTTGAAATGATTTTGACTTTTTTACGAAAAAGGCATGCAAAAAGTAGAATAAAAAGAGATTTTTTGATTTTTTTTATATAATTTTTTAGTTTTTTTATTTTTGGGTAAATTACACTAACACCTCTTGAAGTTTCTGTTTAATACAAATTTTTCTCTCACATTTGAAAAATTGCATTTCCTTCTCTGATATTTGTAATCTCATTACAAATTGCTCCCTAAATTGCTGATGTCATACTCTAAAATTTTTAGGGTAAATTACACTGACACCCCTAGAGGTTTGGTCCAATTACACCCATTTCCTAATGTTCTGGAAATTACATTCTCACCTTCTAGTTAATAGTCTCATTTCACAAACTCCTCTACTTATATAAAAGGCAACAACTTCTAATAGAAAAATAGAGAAAATTATATTTTAAAAAAAGTAAAGCAAAGGAAATGAAGAAAAAAAAAAAAACAGAGAAAGTAAAGCAAAGGAAGAAAAAAGAAAGTGCGTGAGTCCAATGCCTTCATTTTATCTAAATAATTACAATGACAAGGGGGTTAGTGTAATTTTCCAAACGTTAGAGGGTGATATGTATTAAACCCAAACCTCATAGGGTGTAAGTGTAATTTACCCAATTTTTTAAATGACCATCTTGTCCTTTTTCCTACAACTTCTTCTTCCTATCATTATGATTACCTTTTATAATTTTTTATTATTAAATTCTACCTGAACATATTTTTATTAAGTGATGATATACAAACATAAATTTTATGTAGAATTTTCAAACACAATGATATAACTTAAGGGTGACCTTTCACTTTAAAACAAAACACTCATAAACATGATTTATATTTATAGCAATACCACTATTACAGCATTTTTATGATATTTTTTGTATAAATTTTTATATATGAATATAATTTTTTATTTTTATTTCTATCATTATATCTAGATTAGATCAATTTAATCTAGAAATATTTAAAAATTATATAATTTGTACAATTTTTTTAAAAAAATCCGTTGAATACAACAAAATAAGATAATGTATTGAATTTATATATATATATATATATATAAAGTATATCTAAATTAGGTGTATCTAAAAAATAAAAAGATTTGCTTAAAATATTAAAAAAAATTAGTAAAAATAATAAAAAAAAACTAAAAATAAAAAAACTCAATTTTTTGCGTGAGTTAAACCAAAAAAGATGATTGTTATTTCTCTTGAAATAACATGAACAAAATATCTGTATTATTTTATTATTTTATATGTATAACGGCTAAGGGGCAAATATGTCATTTTAATCTAACAAGGAGGTAAGTGTAATTTTTCAAATGTGAGGAGTGGATCTGTATTAAACAAAAATCTTAGGGGGTGTCAGTGTAATTTACCTTGGATTTTTTTAATGACTTTTTGTAGAGACCCTAATTTTTTTTGTCATTACACTTGAAACCCTGAACCTTAGGTTAATAGCATTTTAGCCCTAGTTCTGTAAAAGTCTGCGTAAAGGCCCAAGTAAATAATAACTTCTCTGTGTGTTACCATAATTAAATCATAGAACGCCACTTTATGATTGGAACTATCCTAAAACTTGGTTTTATTTATTTCGCCTCATAATTTCTAAATTAATTCACGCATTTTATTTTATTTATATTTTGTTTTTGTTTTTGTTGTTCTTTCATTTATTATTTATTTGAATGGAATACTATTGTTTATTTGGATATATACATAGTTTAAATATATACATATATATATATATATAATATGTTGGTGGAAAAGTGATTGGATAACAACAAACAAAAATAAAATAAAATAACTATCTAGATATTTAGTTCTCTTAGCCATTAAGCTACCTTATATTATATAAATTGAGGGCTTGTCCAAATCCACTCCCACGTTTTTCTAAAGCCCAAGGAGAGGGTGAGAGAGGGAGAGTTGGCTCAAGGGAAGGGAGGTAGAGAAGTAAGAAGAAGAAGAAAAAAAACAAAGGGGAAAGAGAAGGAATTCTTGAAGGTAAGAACATACCTCTTCCTTATTTTCTCCAATTCTTTCATCATCTCATTCTATGGTCTAGTATGCCTCTTTTGTTACAAATTGATGGTAAATAGGGTGTTTTTGGTGTGTGTGAAGATGTAGGTATGAAATAGTATCATTGTCTTGCAAACTTGTGAAATTAGGCACTGCTGTAACTTCTCTAATTTAAAAGAAATATCAAATCTATCTAATTCTCAAATTTGAATTTATTGTAGGATATTTTATGTGTTTAGAGCTTGTGAAAATTTTATTAGCTCCTATTGTGTGTTTTTAGGACTTGGATAATTTGTTGAAAAATCTGGTCCTAAATCTCTGAAAAACAGTCCACTTTTACCAATTTTATAAAATTCTAGAAAAATCATCTTGTGTTGGTTCTTCTGTCAAAATTTAGAACTCTGAGTCCTCTTTCCAACAGATTTTATTTGAGTGAAAACCATCAGGTAGATTGAGAGAAAAGTTAGTTTCCCCAAAGGGTGACAAATCTGGACAGATTTTTGAATATAGTTTGTAGATGAATTTGTGGAGGGGCTGTGCAACTTCTGAAAATTGGAACTGAAACTAGACAGATTGAATATTGTTTTTGTGCAATTTCAGCCCCTAATTTGGCCTAGAAGTATTTTTACCAAAGCGTTCTTGTTAGCCCTGCAGAACTGAACAGTGTTGGAAATTGTGTTATATTATGTTATTTGTCTCTAAATGTTTCAAAGCCTTTTTAATGTTATTTTCTTGCTTTACTATACTTATGTATGATGACCATGGACTATATTTCCTCTAGTATGTTTTTCCCATACTCGTTTAAATGACCGAATTACCGAATATGACTAACTTACCTAGGAAAAGATCTAATAAACGGAAAATGATAAGGGGTTGGCAATGGGTGACGTTTATCTTAGTGTTTTAGAACAATTTTATATATATGCATGACATGAATTAGGATGAGATTAATACCAAATGAGTTAAGTCTTACGTAAGCAGTTTAGGCGAGCCCCTAGGTTGACCCGAATGTATTCAGACTCTATGCGATGGTTTCAGGGTGTAAGCGAGCCCTAAGCACGAATTGGTATGGTATGTGCAGGGTGTAAGTGAGCCCGAGGCACGATTTGGGTGTAAGCGAGCCCACTTATTGGCCGTCCCTTTTGAGGTCCATCAATGCCACTGACAGGTAAATAACCGGGAGGTGGGCATGGGTGGTAAGGTCTGCAAAGTAGCAAAAGGGGGAGTTCTGAGTAGTCTGGTGTTTAATCTTGTGGTTGGGTAGAAGGATCTCTTTGGGGGGGGGATTCTAAATGCCTAGTCTAACTACTAATTTATAAAACCTTAATGGAAGTATGTTATGTTATCTGATTTGTTTTGTATATGATTGATTGATAGAAGATATGGGGGTGTGTGTGTTTTTATTGGGCATTCCAAGCTCATGGCGTGTCATGCCATGTGAAGAAGGAGCTTACGACGGGGAAAGTGATCCCGAAGACAATCAAGATGAAGTTTTAGAGCCGTAGTTCACTTGAAAACTTGGACTAGCAGTTTGTTTTTGTGTTCTCTCTTTTTTTACCTTTTGGTTTGACAATGTTTATAAACCTCTAGTGGAACTCAAATCAGTTATCTATGTTATAACTTTGCTTGTATGTGTATATTAACATATTGTGGTTATCTCTTTTATTTGAGTTGTACTTTATATATTTCTCTTGTGGTCTCAAAATTTTGAGGCGTGACACTTTTTCACTTTTTAACTATTATGGTTACTTCCCAAACTTGCGAGGGATTCTAGTTGCACCAAAACAAATATTAAGTGCGTCTAATTTCTCAGTATACTCAATTAACTTATTTAGGTTTATAATTTGACGTGGGTAGGCCCATAAAGGCCATAACCCACTATGAACAACCCAAGCCTACCACTTAGGGCCCAATACATAAACCAACTGATAAGGCCCAGCACAGCTGGAAGTCAACATGACATGAAGGACCAATGATATTCAGACACGTGGCAGGTAAAGGGCAAACCACCTCAGTAGACAAAGATCTGCAAAGTTATTGCCACTGCACATCACTATTAATGCAGCCCCTCACAGCATTTATTACGACAACAGCTCTCCGTCGGGACAGCATGCCCTCACCTTGAACAAGGTAAGCTACAACATAGACTTTTGGCTAAGGTGGCAGGTCGGACGGGACAACGAAATGATTACCAAAGGATATAAGTAGACGTTAAAGACAGGAAAAAGGTTAAGTTCTCTATTTCTAATACATATCTCTACATTCCACTTCCCTCTCTCTAGCTTGCTTGTCGGAGGGTTCGCTGGGGGATACCCCGTTCCCCGTTGAACTCTTGTGCAGGTTCTCAGGTGGGCTTGACCACTCGGATATTGGCTCGAGAAGCGTGGATCAGTCCGACCCGTTCTACTAGGAACCCGTTGTATCATAACTGTATCATCATAATTTATTCTCTGTACACTCTATGTTCTTTTTCAAATTATCCTTCAAGTTACGTTCAAATAATAAACAAATTAAAAAATCCAAATTAGTTTGAAAAAACCTTTTTGAAACCCTTCCCCCTTGTGAAGCCGAAGATTTCCATTTTTTATATGTTCTATTTCCCTTTGATGCTGAAATTTTTTTTAGGAATTAATTTTTCACATTTAATTTATGAATGAAGATAGCTTCTCTCAAGTCTATATAGTAGAGTAGAGCATATTGTTGAGCCCGTGCAGCTCATCACAGATGCCGTTTCGATGATTTGAATCGTTTAATGTATAGAGGTCATCGAGTACTTTATGCCTATAAAAAAATCATGTTGATTGAATATCGATAATCCTTTAATCGGAATACATTTTTTGTAGGCATAAAATACACAAACTCTACCTATTGAATAATTCAAATTATCGAAATAAGATTCGTAAAAAACTTCACAAATCTAATAATACGCTTCAATGTACTGCATAGATGGAAAAAGCCTCCCCCTTTGTCAATTATGTTGCATCAGACCAAAAACACGCATATAAAGCATTTGAGTTATAGCAGCTTCAATCAAATGTCAATTCTTATGCTGTAGCTGCACTACATTTTCCTGAGTAGTAAAAAAATAAGTGTCGTGTTGCATCAAAACTTCAACAAAACCGAATCACATTGTTTGGACTGTCAAATTCAAACACGGTGACTTTGTTACTGTCAAATAAAGTGAATTTATTTGTATTTAAAAGTTTGAATAGTAATGACATTAAACATATTGAATATTTATTTTTACGTTAAAAAAAACACAAAAATCAAGAATTATATTTTGATAGTAATATGAATACTTATATCTTATTTGATTGGTTGTTTTAAAAAATAATTTTCATTATTATTCTCATTCATTGTTTGATTTTGTTCAAATTTTCTTCTGTTTACAAGAATAAGAAACAATGATATTGATGATAATGGTGAGTTTTAATGGGTGAATTGGAATTTTGGAAAATAAATGATTAAACTTAAGGAAGAAAATGAAGAATACTTATAAATGATTAGGGTGTACCACGAGAAAAAAAAAATTTATATTTAATATGCATTATCATTATTAATAAATCTATATTAAAATATAATAACAACTAAAATTTTAAAATTTTAATTTAACGTATTCGATGATTTTTTTAGGTACAAATAAAATTACTCCAAACTTGCCCTAAAAGTGATTAAAAGCTTGGATGCAAAGTCGGCCTAACTCTCTCTCTTGGGCCGACCAAAAGAATCATCCAATGGGCTACTTTTAGTTCATAGGTTCCCAAATTAAACATATTATTAAAATTAAATATGCAAGAAATTAATTAGACATCATAATTATTAATTAATAAAATAAAGAAAGTTATTAGGTCTTACATTGTTGAGAATAGCTAAAACAGTGAAAACCACATAAATTTTATCTCTAAAATTTGAGCTATTGAAATTTTAGAAAGGAAAAAAGTTTGAGTTCTATACTTTGGGCTTTTTTCTTTTTTCTTTTTTTTTTGTATGCATTCAATATTTTTATTTTATGTGATCGATCAAGTGCAAAGAAAATTTATTAGGTTTATTATAAAGCACTATGTAATTTATTGTTTGAATACAAAATTGATTATAGAATCCATCACAATCCATTATTAAAGAGAATATTTGACTTCCATTTTTTGATTGGTAATTTTTGTAAATAAATGCTATGATGGATTTGTGTCTTGAACTTGGTTGATTACTAAAATCTCAATAGCACAATTCTTACTCTTGCCATTTCAACAGTCACAAGAATTCTATGTTATAATTTTTATGCACCGCGTCAGCAAATATATATATATATAAAAAAAAATTATATTTAAACTTGAAATAAATGATAAAAATTTACATACATTTTTTAAATCACATAATTTAAAATAAAAGTATTGTATTTTAATCTTACCATTGCATTGTGGAGAAATCAATGAAAAAGTATTTATCATGATTGAGGTGATTTGAGTCCTTCAAATTTTAAAACGGATAATAAGGAGTCGGACTTTATTTACAAATTCATTTGTAAATAAAATAACTATGATTTTTTTTTGAATATGAGACATACTCATTTGAATTATTGTTAACCTACTCCAAAACAAACAAATTATTTTTCTTAGTGATATATTTGAATTATTAAATTGGAAAGAGATTTGAAAAGTAAAAGGAAAAAAAAAATGTGAAAATTATATTTCATTCACATTTTATACATGTTTCTCCTTTCCCCTTTTGCTTTTCAAATCCTTATCCAAATTCGTGAACACAACACAATCTAAAAATTTCAAACAATTATAGCCTCTGTTTGGTTTGAAAATCTTGAAAATCACTTTTTCAGTTTTCTCTCTCTATCTATATATATATTATTTTTATTGATTTTTTAAAATATTTTAATCAATTTGTTTTAATTTTTAAATTCACTTAAAAAATTTATCAAATACAAAAAAAAATATAAAAATTTAATACATTTTCATATTTTGTTGTATTCAATAATTTCTTTTTATAGATTTTTATACAAATTTTATCCTTTTTAAACATATCTAAATTAAACAGATGTGAAAAATTACAAGAAAAAAAAATTATATTTTGTTTTATTCAAGAATTTCTTTTTATAGATTTTTATACAAATTTTATCCTTTTTAAACATATCTAAATTAAATAGATACGAAAAATTACAATTAAAAAAAAAAAACGAATTTGATTTTTTAAACACTAGTGACTGGATTAAATACATTTCCTAAAAAGGGCCAAAGACAGCTTATTGGGGGAGCTGGGCACATCGCATTCCGTGCGCACAGTGAGCGCACGGTAGCCCCACCGATGAACTCTCGCCACCTCAGCGTAACGTAGCCACCCTCGCCCGTCCGCACTCTAATTCCCTCTCTCTCTCTCTCTCGCTCTCTCTCTCTCTCTCTCCATTTTCATACATTCATCTTCTGCAAACTCATCACATATACAAACAAATACAATTGAATACACTACCATAATTTATTTTATCATTATTTTTCTTTCCCATTAATTAAATCCGAATCAACACTCCCACCTTTTTAATTTCCTCTCCATAACTCAAAATGGCGCCGTCCAGCTCGCCGGCGGGACGTGTGTTTGCTCTCCGCCGCAAGGAGGTGGTCCGGCGACCATCTCCCCCGCAGTCTCCGCCGCCGAGGAAGTACAGGTCCATGGAAGAGGTTATGAAGTACGCGGCGGCGGCTGTGCTGATCGAGTCCAACGACAACCCCTCCAACGACGAGGAAGACTACAGCGACGTCGTGTGCGAGCAATGCGGCTTCGGCGAACGCCCCGACGAGATACTTCTCTGCGACCGCTGTGACAAGGGCTTCCACATGCTTTGCCTCCGCCCAATCGTTGTTCGCATTCCCATCGGCTCTTGGTACTGCCCTAGCTGCTCAGATCAACCCTCAGTCAAACGTATGAATCAATCGACATTCCCATTCTATGTATCTATACATTTATGTGTCAATGTATGTATCTATGGATTTCGATTGGTATTGGGGGATAATGTATGTATGTATGTATGTGTGTGTGCTTTTTGTTTTTCAGGCTTTCCTCAGACAAAGATCATTGATTTTTTCAGGATTCAGAAATGTGGCGATTCAGCTGGCAAGTGTGCATCTCCTCAAGGTGGTTGTTAATCGTAATCATTCACTAAGATTGCACTACTGCATTGTTTGTTTACAACTTTGTTTTTAATTATATAATAGTTGTCAAAAATTCTAGTCACTTTTATTATTTTGACATTTGCATTAGTCTTCTCTTTGGATCTTTGAAGGCTGTGCTTGGTTAAAGGATTTGGGTAGGTATTTGGAAAGGGAAAGGGAATACCTCTGTGAAACGTAAGAGATTTGAAAATAGAAAGGGAATAAGCCTGTGAAATATAATTATATTTTATTCATATTTCATTACCTTTTCTCTTTTCCTTTCTAAATTCCTACCCATATTCATGAATCAAATAGAGCAGAAATAAAATATTAAAATTAGAAATATTTTTATTATATATATATATATATATTTTTTTTTTGCAGTTTATACATTCATTAAAAACTCTCCTTGGTGTATGGGTTGCCTTTTTTTTTCTTCCAAAAAATTAATTATTCTATTAAGTGTTCAAATATGGTTATGAGCTTTTGGGATTGAATTTTTAGTTCAAGTGTCCGATTTTGAAACAGAAGAACAGATCATGGAAAGGATATTGGGGGAACTGCATTTGAGTGTGAAGGACGCAAATCAATTGGTAAAACATGGATGTGCAAGTGAGTCACTATGATGCAAAATAGTCACAGTTTTCACTTGTACTAGAGTGTACACCCATTTCTAGCAAATTAAAATCCATGATGAAAGACTATCTTTATCAGCCAACTCCCCTTTTTCTTTCGCAATTTCCTGAAATCCTCATCGATTCTTCCCCTCGGGGAACACATTAGATAGTTACCTAAATTGGCAGGTCCTTGAGCGAGCTCAATGATTGATCTTCTACGCTAAGGCTAACATCTTATCCCATCTTTCATCCTATTGCTTTGAGCTCTCTTCGGGAAAGTGTAAAAATGTAACCTCTTGCTCCTTGATTTCATAAACAATTGAATGCCTTCTGCTCTTTTTGTTTGATGCAAGAATAGTCATAGTTTTTGCTTGTACTAGAGCATACACCCATTTGCAGCTCCATGTTTTTTCAATTACTTTGAGTTCTTCCCACCAGAATGCAATCTCCCCGAGGATATTTGAGATGATAATTTATTTAAGAGTAAATTACAATGACCTCCTTGAACATTAGGATAAATATAATTGGCCCCACTAGTTTGGGAATTTTACATCGTCCTCCTCTAAATTTTTAAATCATGTCACACTTACACTTAAAGTTTTAAAAGGTGTTGTTGAGGTTCGCTTCGAGACGAGGCTAAGGTGAAATGCATCGATGCTTTCGTTTTCTTCTTAGTTTAATACATGATTTAAACATTAAAAATAAAAAAATAAAGAACCTCTTTTGTGGCTATATTCCATGAAAAAAAACTAGTAAATGACTAATGAAGAAAAAAATACAAAACTAAAGTATGTCGATTTCACCTTCGATAAGGACAAGTTTCCTTCTTGGTGAAATGTTCAATGCCTTGAGCAAAAAATTATCTATATCTTTATTATAATTTTTAATTTTTTTTACTATTTTAAAATAGTTTATTTATTTACTAATTATCAAAATGTGAAATGGTTACGTCTTGCCCTCCTTAGGCCAAATGCCTCACATTACAACCTTTAAAAAGTTTGCCTACACCCATGTTGTTAGTCAACCAAATGGAATTTGATGATGCCATTGATTTTTTTTTAACTAAAATACCAATTTTACCCTTGATTCTTTGTTAACTTCATGTTTGTTTTAACATTTTTTAACAATGACAAAAGGAAAAGTAAAGTAATATAGAAAAAAGGTTTCCATTGCAATGGGCTAAAGGAGAAGGGGTCAGTGGGTGATGCGTTTGTGGTGAGGATGGCGGTCAGTGGTATTGTTATGTGGTGCGAGAAACAAGGTAGCACTATAACGGGGAGGATCAATGTGGGTGGGGATAGAGAAGAAAAGGAGGGAGAAAGAAAAAACAAGTATGCTGGTGGTAGCCGTTGTAGAAGAAGAAGATGGGAGAGATTAAAAAGGGGGAGGTTGCAGTGGCTCGTGTGATGGAACCTGATGGCAGCAGATGATGCAATGGAGGATGGTGGCGATTGTTGGCAAGTGGAGATGGTTGGAGGCGCTGGCTGGCAGGTGGTGCAAAGGAGGATTGTGGTGGTTGCCAGAAGGTGGTGATGGCTGGAGGTGGCGGTTGCAAGCACATGGTGATAGATGGAGGTGATGATGAACAAATTAGGGTTAGGAAGTGATGTAGAAGGTGAAGATGATTTGGAATTGTATTATTATCATTTAAATTGGAGTTAGATTTGTAGAGGTAAAAAAATATAGTTTCACATTATATGTTAATACCACTGGCTTTATTGATATAATTGAAAAATTAGGGACTGATATGGGATTTGGAGTAAAGTGCACTCTATATGATATCTTAGATGCTTATTAACCTCAAGGATGTTATGCACTTGCGACATTTGGCTTACAATACATAGTCTAGAATCCATGGGAACTCTAGTTAATGTTGTGTAGACAAGGGAACTGAAATTTAAAGAGTGACTTATTGGAAACTTGGGTTCCTAATGGGTTTGGTGTTTTGTGTTGTACACCTGCTCAAAACAAGTACTTACATTCATTTGAAGTGTCCATGACATGACAGTTATCCAATACAAAAAAATACTTTGGGATGATCACGTCTTAAATCTCCGTACTTAAATTATATGCTTATTTTGATAGTAGACTTGAATTCTGTTATTAGCTCTTAGGGATGCATGATCATTATTGGCCACTAACATGAGCTAGAGAGAGAGAGAGAGAGAGATAGAGAACAATGCCATTGGTGGGGTGGGGCGTTGCACTTAAAAATGGAAAAAGTTAAAGCATGATGATCATTTTTGGAAAATAGGTAGAAGTCGTCAAGACTCGGCGTTGGTTAGGCTTGGCGTTATGCCATAAATGGAGATCGTGTCTGAGGCAATAAATGAGATCTTAGTTTTTAGGGAATTAATTTATATAGAATTTTATGTATTATAGTTTTTCTTATATTAGGTTTTTTCAATTTGATTTATAATAGGATTATTGGAACAACCTATAAATATAGGGTTGGATTGTACTGTGGATTATTAAGATCTCTCTCTCCTTCTTTTGTCTTATTTCTGCTTTTTCTTCATCCTTAATCTCTCTCTCTCTCTCTCCCTCTCTCTCTCTCTCTCTCTCTCTCTCTCCATATATCTCTATTATTTTTGTCATCTCGTCTCCTTGACTACTCGTTGGCTTTCTTGCCATCTCTTCTTCTATATTCTGTATATTCTTCTATTTTACTTCCTTATTCTGCCTCTTCTCCCTCTCTGTATCTCAACTTATTCCCTGTTGCTTCCTCTTTACTTCACTGTGCTGCATCAATTTTGGTATCGGACAACATACTTGTTATTTGCAAACAATATTTTGACTTTGATGAGTTTTATTTGTGTATTTAGCATCGCTTTTTGAATGCTGTCAGAAAGTTTTCTAGTTTCATAAATATCACAATCCTTTCCTTTATTGAATTTGATATGTCATATATGTAAATTATAACTTGACATATTTGTATATTTTTGTTTTCTGTTTGGGATTGTTTGGGTGCAACCTAGGGGGGTGTTGGAGATGTTGCGGAGCTGGCGGGGAGCTCGGGTGGGACATAGACGTAGGCAGGTCTGTTTGTTGGTGCCTTTTTGTTTGATGTGACTGGTTTGGTTGGAGAGGAATCACCGTACGTTCCAAGAGATTTATCATGATGTGTCGTGGCTGGAGAATCGTTTGTTAGTTACTTTGTATAGTTGGTTGGAGAGAAGGGTGGATCTGGATTTATTTGCTTTTTTAGATGTTTTGGATGATGTTATTGGTTAGGTGTTTAGTTGCTTTTTGATCTTTTGCATTCTTGTATTCTTAGCATCGTCTTGATGCTCTTTCAATAAAGTATTCTTATTTATCAAAATATATATATATATATATATATATGTATATATATTGTGACCTTGAGGCTGTATGCTGGGGTCAGGAAATTCTTAGATTTTCTGCAAGTAGGATGCCTCAGTCCTTGGTGCAGGAGTTTTTGTTTTTGCTTTTGTATTTTTTTTTTTCCCCCTTGGGGGTAGGGGGATGCATTGGTTGTATTTTGAAGCCCATGACCCCGAGCGTGGAAGGCTGAATCCTTTCCTGCTGTTTGGTGCATTTCTGTTTAAATAGTTCATGGAAAAAGACAATTCGAGTTCAAGCATTAATTCTACACGTTATTTCAGATTGGTAATAAAACTAACAATATTGAAAAATTCAGTTTTGGGCAGTTGTACCTTATTTATTGACATCATCATGCTTATGATTCCTCAATACACTCCTGCATTAACAGAATCTTATAAGAATCTTTAACCAAGCGTTGATAACCAATCTTATAAGAATCTTATCAAATCTTAGTTACTTCCCTTATACTTTAATAGCCCACAACTGGTCATGAATATCAGAACATAGCACAACAATTTCCCAAATAACTAATTTAGACTGAGTGATCTCTGAAAAATATAACTATCAATTTTTTCCCATATGAAGAAGAGTTATTCTTGCAGTCACAAAATATGCTGGCTTTCTTTCAAATTATTTCCGAAATAATCCATTCGAAACCCCCATTTCTTATAATTAGTAAAATGTTGTTTGGTATTGTGTTGTTGCCATAGCCCCATTAATCACCTTCAGGACATGATTGACTCAATAATGTGTTTAACAACATTACATGGAATCTGAGGCATGCTTGATCAAACTGCATTTTTGTCTGTTTAATTGTCCTATTTAATGGAAGAATATCCATTCTCTTCAGCTCTTGACACGTTTTACGGAAACTATTACCCTCATTACTTTGTTATAAATTCCTTGATACTACTGCATTTTCGTGCTTGCTTTCTTTGAGCACATGCATGACTTCTTGGCATACAATTATGTTTACGTGTACCCATTTCCCTCTTCAGATAGCATTTATTTGACATCCCACTTTCTTATACATCAAGAAGGCCTTATATACAAACCATTTTATGTCACCTTCATCCTTGTTAAATCATATCCCTTTCCAGGTTATCTCAGATGGCTTACCCTCATTGTCTTTAATTGATCATGTCGGCGTCTTTTTTCTTCTTTTCCTCCTTGAATTTTATTTTATTTTATTTTTAATTTTGGGAACTATCTTTTTTATTTTTTACAATTAATCACAACGGCCTATAGGAATAACAATTTGGCCATGTAGACATCACATAAAATTGTACCTCTATTTGATAACATTTTTCTGATTTTGCAACACTCAAAATTCATTTTTCTATTTGTTTCTTTACTCTTTGATTATATTGGCATAGTCCTAGCCACATCTCAAACCCTATGATACCTGCAGTTTTGTACCCTAATGTTCATAAATAATTTTCCAAAAGTTATGTGCCACTTAGTGCTGCCTAGCTTTGAAACCATTGGGTTCATTTTCATTATCTCCCATTGCTTCACACTATTCATCATTGAACATATTCTTGCTCGATAGGTGTACTTAATTGACACCGTTTTGTAACGTCTATTGTGACATCTTTGTAGAAATTTCCTTATGTTCTTTTCTAAAGTTAACAAGTGTCATTTGGAGTTCCTTTTCTTCCTCCTGACTTTTTATTAAGTTGCTCAAGTAAAATAATTTCCATGCTTAATCATTTAAGCAATGAATAAGTTGGTTTCTCGATATATCTCATTATGTGTTAGTTGTTGCCTCTTTGCTCACTTTGTTCTTGTGAGGTTCCTGTAGTTTGACTTATAAAAGTTTGATAGTTAAATGGTTTGCAATGTTGATTTGCACCTTTTTTTAACAGACTAGCTATCTAAATTCCAAATTCTTCTAAAACTTAAGCCTTTGTGATTTTTTTGATAAACAATAGAAGAAATAACTCTTCACTTGTGTAGGCAAATCCTCCTTCCAATAGTCATATTTAAAAAAAAAAAAAAAAAAAATCCTCCTTCCGATAAGCTTCCTTCCTAATCTTTGATTAAGTTCTCTAATAGTCAGTTTTAAGTCTTTCACAAGTTTTAGGTGTCTACTTCCCTGGTAATTTATCTCAACAAGATTGTATATATCGCTGAAATTTCCCCATTGCTACATAAATGCCATGTTTGTAACATGCTCATTTTGCACTGTACACTACTATGCTTCTTTTGATGACAGTTGATTCACCTTTGAATTGTTACAACATTTTTCTCTTCTTTTTTATGATTGTGTGTTTCTATTCATAAATTGGCTTATTGAGCAGGAAATTGAGGCCCTTTATTTATTTTTCTTGGAAGTTGTATATAAAGGCATACCTTGCTAATTATGATTATTTGAATTTAATTAACCATTATTTTGGCAGGTGAGGTGGGTTATTTGATCCTTGCTAGTAAGGTCTGGCTTATGCACCACTACTGTCTCAAAAGGAGCCTTCTCTATATGAAGAGTTACTTAGAACAGTGCTTAACTAAAGATAATTTCTTATATGGGGTAGATGATCCCTGTTAGGGGTGTGAATTAGGTTACTGGAGAATCCATGAATCATCCTCTTCTTCAATATACACCTTCCTTTCTTATTATGAAGTATATTCAAGTTTATGCATAGGTTGATGCATGATTTAGCTAGTTTGCTGCATTTATATATTGTCTCCATCCCACATTGTTAGTCCTTTTTCCCAATTCAGATATCCCAAAATGTTAGTTCTCTTCGAAAAGTGAAAACATAAAATTTTACAATTTTCCCAAACTATCCCTTATAAGTGACTATGAATATATTTAAGAGTGGGAATAAAGGTAATTTGGAACATTATGCCTTTTTATTTGAATTTGAGTGTATTAATTGCATGTCCCCTTTAAAAGTTGTAATTTCCCAAATGGGACTAACATTGTGAAATATGGTTAGAGTATTTTTTTTTAACATTTTAATATCTCTTTAGCCTTGAGTCATATTTATACCCCCTACACTCAAGCCTATCTCCTTTTACATCTAATACCACCATGAATTTTGTGACTTTAGGTTGTCTGTTTTGATATTTGCAATCTTTAAATGTGCTTTAGTTAAAAACCTCGTAGGTAAATCTTTGGTTGACTGTTACTTCTATGTGTTCATCGTTATTCCCATTCAAGGATAGGGCAGACTAGCTTGTATAGAGTGGCTTGTTAATCTTTTTAGAATCCCTTTGAACTTGGTTTTATTTACATGTTATTCCCATTTAATGATGATCTTCAATTGACACATTTAAATTGTTTTATCGGTCTTGACTTCTAGATACTAGAAAACGTCGGAGACGTGCCAGTATGTTGGTTTTTCACAAGAAAAGGAGGAGACTGTTACCATTTACTCCGACAGAAGATCCTGCCCGAAGGCTAGAACAAATGGGTTCCCTTGCTTCTGCTTTAACAGCATTGCATATGGAATTTAGTGATCGGCTCACTTACATGCCTGGCATGGCTCCTAGATCTGCCAATCAAGCCGAGTATGAAAATCATGGCATGCAGGTATGAATCTGAAACTTTTTGTTTGCTTCCAATTGCCATCTAGAAATATTTCTTTTTGGTTTTGATTGGTTCTCTATTAGGTTCTCTCCAAAGAAGATACTGAAACCTTGGAGCACTGTAGAGCTATGTACAAAAGAGGCGAATGCCCTCCCCTTCGTGTAGTTTTCGATTCATGTGAAGGGTACATCCTTTTACATCTTTTGAAAAAAAAACTCTTGAACTACTGCTGTGTTATCAAATTTTTATATGGTAATTCTAATTCATATTGAATAAATTTTGTTGTTATTTGTTTGTAATGCAGTTTTACTGTAGAGGCTGATGGGCCTATAAAGGATATGACATTAATCACAGATTATACTGGTGATGTGGATTACATTACAAATCGGGAACATGACGATTGTGATAGTATGATGACCCTTCTTCTAGCAAAGGACCCATCTAACAGCCTTCTTATCTGTCCTGATAAACGTGGAAACATTGCTCGCTTTATTAATGGCATTAACAATCATACTCCGTAAGCTTGTGTATCCTCTCTCATGCTGTCTAGATTCTAGACTCAAAAAATGCTTCCCTGCTTTTATTTTGATGGTGACTTTATCCATTTCATCGACTCTGATGTCTGTACTCCATTTCTTCCAGTGAAGCGACATAACAAAATTCTTTGTTTTTATCGACATCAAAATAAATTTAAAAATTGAGAATATTAAACCTGTTGTTCTTGAAACCTGTCCAATTTTGTGCAGGGAGGGTAGGAAGAAGCAGAATCTTAAATGCGTGAGGTACAGTGTAAATGGTGAATGTCAGGTCCTTTTGGTTGCTACTCGTGATATTGCCAAGGGGGAGAGGCTATATTATGACTATAATGGATATGAGCATGAATACCCAACCCATCATTTTGTCTAAGATCCACATAGATATTCGTCTAACGGGTTTGCATAATTGTCATGCAATTCCAGATTCTGATAGATCCTTCTGATGTATACACATTTTTTTTCTTTTCCTTTTTTTCTTTTTTGTCGCAGCTTACACATTTTTGTTGCAGAGTGTCCACATTTTTCCCCAGTTTTCTAATTGTATCCTCAGCCCATCAATTGTAATTTATCATGTAGTGCTGGCCAAGTATGTGCTGTGAGAGAAATAGTGCAGGCGAGGGAACTTTCTTTGGAATTTAACATAAGAAGGGTTTTAAATAATTACAAATTTGAGTTACATGGCATTGTCTCTATGTACTACAATTTCAATGAGATGCATTACTTTTATCTATGGTTTCCTTTAAGTAGGTCCAAAGATTACTATAATGGACTATTGGAGGGCTTTTCCTCCAACATTTGTTTCTCTTTCCTTATCTTTATTTGAGTTAGATGATATTATCTTTATGTGCTAAAGGTTTCAATGGAAGACACTACTTTTATTAAATGGCTGCCTAATGTTGATCCTAAGATAAACTCTGATAGACTGTTGTGTGTTATTATTATTAATTTTTTCTCCCACTAAAACATATTTCTCGATCTGTTGTTTCTGTTTTGGTTTCTCCTCTCTATAAACATTTCATCATTATTTTTTTAAAATGCTAACCGTCCTCAAGAAAGCACGAAGACAGGAAAATAAAGTAAAATACAAATAAATTCTTTTTGGCTGCCTATTTCTGTATTATTAGGCAACTGTAGCTGGAATACCAGGGACACTGTTTGAACATTCATATTAGACCAGTATCTTCATGACTGGGTCTTTTGAATTTGGATATAGTGCCTTGATGCAGGGAATTTTGTGAATGTGTCATCATCATCCATCACTTCGTGTTGGACATCCACAATTTGCATAATCTCATTATGACTTATAAGGTGAATCTCTCTCTTTATTTATTTATTTCATGTGAATTCTGATTAGAAAAGTTTTGGATAGATTTCTTTCTTGTAATCTTCCTGAAAGCCCTTATAGGTTTTTATACCATTCACTGAATGCAAAGATTCATACCCAGGTTACATGCTTTAGCTATCTTACCTCAAATATGGAATTCTCTATGTTGTTATATATTTGTGGTCTTGTGTGATAATTTTGTGGATTGATTTGATGGCCCTTCTTTTGTGGAATTAGTTTTAGATCCATGGGCACTGCTTAGTTTCGGAGCATTTTAGCTGTATATTTGTTATATAAACTTGTGATATTGCCTAAATTTTTCATTTATTTGTTTTGAATGCACCTTTGCATCTGATTGTTATTCTGATGCTGGTGCTGGTGTTCCTGCTCCTGCTCCTGCTCCTGTTGCTGTTATTTCTTTTATCACATTCATCCAACACATTGTTCTTGTTCTTTAAATTTGTCAGTTGCTTTGACTTTTGTATGAACCCTCAAAACAAAACATGTCGGGATGCCTATTTTTTTGTATCGATTTCTGATTCCTACAGTGGACAGTTGGTGCAGCATGTTGGCTTCCACAACCCAATGCAGTTCCCATGCCATCTAGATACTTACCCAATTCTTGTTCTCATTCGCATCCTATTCTTGTTTCTCACTTTTCTCTCATTCCTTCTGAAAATCATGTATTATGCTTATTTTCCATTTAGTGATGCTTTCATCCTTTCATCTATACCTCATTCTTTTAGTTGCAGTTCACAGAATTCAGCTTTTTTTCCCTTTTGCTTCAGTTGCTTCAACTGCTTTTGGAAATTAATTGGATTTTGACTCGATGACCATATGAATGCATGTGGTACAAAGATATGGCCAATTAACAATATATTATTTTTTCAGTAAAGAGACTCAACTTAAGATCTCGAAGCTGGCCCCAGAAGAATTGCTAACACTTCATGTTACCACTTCCATTCCACTGAAGAAATGTGTTATTTTTCATTCTTCATAACAGGAAAGTTTAAGGATCAGTGGAGAATGAAGTCTCATGCATGGGGTGCATTGGTAAGAATGTTGGCCTTCAAGGCCTGTGGCATTGAGAAGGTGTGAAGAATTGTGTTTGGCGTTTGTTTGTTATGCATATATGGTTTCTGAAATGAACATAAAGTCTTCTCTTCCAAAGGCCCAATAGTTCTGTGCTTAACTTACTTGGAAGAGCAGAGTCTGCAAGCAATTCAAATTGTTGTTTATCCTAATGTACATGAATACTTTTATGTGTTGTCTATCTGAAGTTTTTTTTCAGGTGTTAACTTTAATGCTATATAGCTGCAGTTTCGGGGCAAGTTGCTTGCTTGTTTGTATATGGATTGGTGGAAGGTTGAGCTGAAGTAGCAGAGAACATGTTGGTTTATATTTAGAAGAATGTAAATAAGAATATGATGATGATGATATGAAGGAATGTGTTTATGTATGAAGGTTGTTATGTCATTAACTTGTCTCAGTATTATCTTTTATAGGAGTAGATAAATTCTCATTGGAAGGAAGGTGGAAGTTTGGGAGAGAATTTTAAGATAGGATTTTACTCTACTATTGGATGTGAGGAAGGGGCAACTTCGTCAATGCTAAACTTGTTTGTTTGGCTTCTAGGTTCTCCTCATCCTCCCGGGCTTCAATTTTTCCCCGGTTTTCCTGCGAAAGAAAGTGCAATTTTGGGTTAAAGAGGATCCTGTTTCTGTTTGTTATGGAAGGAAAGAAAGAAAGCCTTTCTAAAGGGGTCTGTCTCTCTATTAATTATTACACTTGAATTCAATTCAATTGACCTCATGCTATGGTTGTTCTTAAGCATTAGTACACCCAAGGATGGGGCGGTGGGGTGGGGTGTTATGGAGCCTAACATTATGTTCACTTTTTCTGGTGGATGATGGTTCATGGAAGATGAATAATTGGCTTTGTATAGAGTGTTCTGTCTGTTTGCAGATGGCCCACTACTTAGCCAGTTCTCATCTTCTTGCTGCTACTCTTCCTCTTCACTTCAGCTCATTCAGACAAAATTAATGAATGCTCTCTCTCTCTCTTTCTCTCTCTCTCTCTCATATGTACATCTAGCCAGCCAGCCAACCAAATTGTTCATCAACTTACTTTTTGTAGGATTGGTCTCGTACATTTGTTCATCTTATTTGACCCCTAATTTGATTTTTTTAACCTTGTTACAATATCTAAAAGAGAGAAATCTGTATTATATTGAATGAATTTAATGAATAGGTATAAACTCCATCAGACAGGAGAGAAGTTAATTATGGTAATACACAAAATATGGTGTGAAAATATGCTGGGAATATATATTATATATAACACCCCCCTCAAGCTCAAGGTGGTTGTTACGTCCCAAATTTTTATTTTATTTTATTTTATTTTTTATCATAATAAGGTTTAAAACTAAAAATCATTTTTTCTTAATTAAGAACTTCTAATCATTGGTGTCACTAAGTTTGCTATCAAAATTAAAAGTTCTTAAATTACAATTCCAAAGTAAACTTAAAGTTTCGTCTCAGCACATTCATAAAAAAAAAACACAATTAAAAAAAAAAAAAAAAAAAAAAAAAAAAAAAAAAAAAAAAAAAAATTTCATGGGATTGGGCACACTTAAAAGCTAACCAAGGTTGAATGTTGCATCCAAGACCTTGGTGTTTCCTTCGGTTTCTTCGATACCCGGCATAAAATGTCAGGGCAACGGAAATGCCAATGAACGATGAGTTCAATAAGATGCTACAACCCGAAAATATCTATCCTAATAATAATACTTACAAAGAATGAATACTGTGTAGTAACAGAGTAACAAGTAACGTTTAATAGAATAAGCATAACAGGAATGCTAACAGTTGAAATAACAACAATAGATAATAAGAACAATGACAAGCAGAAACAGTAATTCATTATAAGAAAAATACCAAACTTTTCTTTTGAATTTTCATAGGTTTAGTTTATCAGGTAAGTTTAAGTGCCTCCCCGCAGAGCACTCAACCACTAAGCAATGGCCACGAGCAATTATGACTCCCTCTTGGTCAAATATTCAAATGTTACTTGCTGTAACTACCAATGATGCCCACGCACCAGGGTTACGTACCCGAGTTATGACACCACGGTCTACCCTAAGGAAACGGTCTATGTTGTGACGTCTGTACCACCAACCTTATATCGCCTATACCAATAAGATACAAAATACATTCCCGTGCCATGTTAGAGTTCGCAATTCACTCGCAAAAGACTCTATATCGGGCTCACCCTATTGCTTTTAACTTTTAATACATCGGTTCAAATTCGTATTTCTTTACTTTGTCAAATTCACATTTTGATACATGCGCGAGTTTTAGTTTGAAAGCCATAGTGACATAAGGTTTATATAGCACGACACAACCATGTATGGTAATCAAAATGAATATTACAGAAATGTCTTAGGAGTCATCACAAAATTTCTTAGAATTTCCAACACTTCTTATTTTCAACATTGAATTAGTGGACTAAAAATAATGAAACTCATACCAAACGAAGTTCGATTATTGCAATATTTTAACTGGTGCTAGGTCATTGAGTTAGGAAAATATTTCAAGAAGAATTCCAAGGCTAAAAATGATTTTAAGATGGAAAAATAAAATTTGAAAGAAAAACTGATTTCTGGGACAGTGAACTACAGCAATTTCCAACACAGGTAATCTTTATTTGAAAAAAAAAAGGGCTCTCAAATGATGTCAAAAGGGGGTCACGTTAGAATTTTTTGCTAGATATTTGAGGTGAGAACACATTTATAGGGAGCTTGCAGACTAAAAACCAATGGAAGATAGTCACATAAATTTTGTTAAGAAAATTGGATAGATTCTGTTGCATTTTAGTAAAACTGCAATTTCTCCTCTTAGACTCATTCATTTTCTATGAAATCAGAGGAAAATGAAAGATAACTCATATATCTAACTATCCCAAGTGGTCGTGCAGAAAAATACTGTTTGCAGAGAAAATGGGACTTGTTTGAATTCACTGTTTCTACTGTGTTGTAAGCAACACTTAGGACAAATATTTATTTTGGTAAGAAAATGGTGTCCAATGATTTTATAAAAATTTTACATGTGTATAGAACACCTATATCTACACCCAGTACAAACAGATTTTAAACAAAAGTTATTTTCAATTTATTAGAGCATTTTTCAACTGATAAAATTTGAAACAATGAAGAAAATATAAGTTTCAAGTAAAAGTGAAATAACCTTATTTGATTTCACCCTCATACAAGGTTATTTCATAGCAATGGAGAATATTTGAACACATAAGAAGATAAAATCAGTGGCTAAATCATTTAATCTATGCATGCAAAAAAGGAATAGAAATCATATAGTCATGAAATTCTCATTCTATCAAAATGTGGACATGCATTGAGCTATTTTAATCACACTTGCTATGTATGTATTAATAATGCATGCTCTAGCACATATATAATATATAAATTTAGTTAAGAATATCTAAGAAAGGATAGAGGTAAAGTATTCTTACCTCAAGAGTTTTTACAAACTATCCTCAAGATTAGCTTCAAAATGGTGACCACCAAGCACCCTCTCCTCCCTCCCTCATTTTCTTTTCTTTTCTCTTCTTTCTTTTTCCCTTACTCAACCGTATACATCTGAAGGTGGCTAAAGATGGGGTCCTTATGTAGGGATTGTGGAAGATAAATGGGTGTTTAAATTGTTTTTGTTTATTTTGTTATTTTACTTTATTTTATCTTCAGCAAAATTTGTTGTTGGTTTGAATTGCCATTCTATAGGCATGCTTGTCCACCTTTGATGAGGTTGTGTGTGTTGTTGGAGAAGCATGCTCTTACATATACATGCACAACAAAGCCTAAGGAAAGACCTTGGGAAGAGGCAACTGGCTATTCTCTCGATTCCCTCCTCCCTTATATATGATTTTGACTCACTTTAATATTATAATATTATTAGATGTAACTAAAAGACTTGAGATTGAACTAATTAATCTCCATAGGTAAATTTTCTTGTGCACAAATTATTAATGCAAAACTTTATATAAAACAATTATATAGAATAACATATATCAAGAATTAGATTTGTGTAGTCATGAAATTGACGAGACAATGATGACAACAATAATAATAATATGAAGATAAAAATTGCACTAATTAAATAATTAAAAGTTAATTATAGAATTTCGTCACAAAATGTTGTTGTGGAATTGGACTATGGATGTTGATTACAAAATTTAAGTAGCTAAATATAATTACCTAAATAATTTAATATACAAAAATATAGGTTCTTATAGTAGTAATGCATATATCAACTTAAGCTTGGAAAGTAAATCGGAAAAACATTATAGAGGATGAGCTTTGGTGAAGATGTCAATTGTCTGATTGATAGAGATAACAAAGAGAAGACAAACAGTACCACTCATATCATGCTTCCGTATAAAGTGACAATCAATCTCAATATGCTTGATGCGATCATGGAAGACATCATTATCTGAATGGCACTCTAATTGTCATAATAGATGTTGGTGGCAATACGATGAGAAATGCCCATGTCAGAAAAAAGCGAATGAAACTATACAAGCTCTTGAGTAGTATCACCAAGGGCACGATACTCAGCCTCACTACTAGAATGAGCAATAAGAGTTTTCTTCTTGCTACGCCAGGTAATATGAGGGTCACCCAAGAAGAAGCAGAACTCTTAGTTGAACAGCAGTCAGTAGGATCCTTTGCCCAATCTTCACCAAAAAAAAGAGTGTAACTGTAAAGAAGAGTGTGTTGTGTAGTAAAGATCATGAAACATAGTTCCTTTAAGATAGCGCAAAATGCGAACCAAAGCATCATAGTGCGGAGATCGAGGAACATCCATGAACTGATTAACAATGTGAACATCATAGGCAATGTTTGGACGAATAACCATGAGACAGACTAGACTGTCAACTAGCTGACGATATAAAGTAGCATCAAACAACAGGTGACTGTCAAGAGGTATGAGACAAGTCTGAGGAACAATTGGGGTAGAAGTAGTCTTGCCATCAGTAAGACCAGCACGAGCCAAGAGATTAGAGGTATACTTGGCATGGATAAGCAAGTAACTAGAATGATCATGAGAAATTTCCAAGCTGAGGAAGTAGCTAAGCAAACTCAAATCTTTCATCTTAAATTAGTAACTAATCCGTTAGAGACTGGAGATACCCACGGTGTTATCCCCAGTGATGATCATATCATCTACATAGAGAAGAAGAATAATAATACTACACTATGTCTTACGTATAAACAGAGCAAAATCATAAACACTAGAGGAGAATCCAAAGTCACGAAAGGTAGAACTGAACTTGGCAAAGCTTGTTTCAAACCATACAAGGCATGTCAAAGGTTGCAGACTTTGGTGGACGAAACTAAGGAACCAATAGCAAGTTGCATATAAACTTTCGCAGTGAGATCACCATTGAGAAAAAATGTTCTTGACATCCATCTGACAAAGACTCCAACGGCAAGCAACAACAACGACAAGGAGGCTGCGAAATAAAATAAGACGGGCAACATGACCAAATGTGTCACGACCCAAACCCGCCCCTATGGGTTTAGCACCGTAACCGGCCAGTAATCCGTGGATTACCAAAGGCCTCTGAACAGATTAACAAATAATAAGGGGTTGCGGAAGCAATAATACAAAATAGGCAAGGTCCAATGAGCTGTGATAACGTACATGGGACGGAACATTTCAAAACTTATATATATACATAAGCATGCCCGTCAGAGGACACCAATATTTACAAAGTATTACATCCCAAGACCTGTTTTTACAAAACACATACAGAGACTAGCATGAATACAAAAACAACCATGGCTTTAGACTCGATCGGAACCTTCTCGGGAGGCACAACGGTTGGCTGACAAAAACGAAACATAAGGCCGTCAACTCCGGCCTTGGTCATGTGCCGGCTCACCTACATACATAATATAAACTGTGAGCGAAAGCCCAGTGAATAATAATAGAGTAAAGGGTTTCAATGAATGAGTTCGTATAGATTCAGAAATCATAATTCAGTTCATATCAAAATCATAGTTTATCCAGATCATAGACAGACATAAATCATGAGTCATGATTAAGTTTACGTGATACATCCATTAGCATTAACAGAACAGAACGTATACACGTGGGGTTATGAATAACCAGTTCCATAAAGGAACCTCCGGATCCGGGTAACAGAACAGAACAGAAGCTGAGCCCCCGTGACAGGGCCTCCGGTACGGGTAACAGAGTGCAGACAGAAATAAGTTCCATAAAGGAACCTCCGATACTGGGTAACAGCTAACAGATATCACATGATACTAAGGATGTCACGAATACATATCAGAAATTGAACAATCATTCATTGTACAGAACATGTCATTTCGAAAAACAGATATTGTTTTATCACACAGAAAATAGATACAGTTGAACATAACTTTACTAAATTATTACTCACAGTTGGCCTTGAAACAGACAGACGGAGCAGATTAATCACACAACACGCAGCACGTGACCTACATAACACATAACGGACACACACTTGAAACACACATTCTAATTGCACAAAACTTACGTCGTTGGTTCTTAGTGTGTTTCTAACCTTAAATCCTCACTATAGAGTCTTAAACATGGCCTAGGAATGCCTAGGATGGAATGAGGATGCAAAGATGCCTTGGAAAATATTTTTCAAAACTTGCTGAAAACAGGGGTCTTGCTCGAGCGTAGCTTCCTTCGCTCGAGCGAGCTTGTCAAAACAGAGGGGTCGCTCGAGCGTAGACTCTTTTACTCGAGCGGTCTGTAAAAATGCAAAAGTACTGGTTGTTGAAATTTTACGCTCGATACCCGCTCGATGCTCGCTCGAGCGTGAGACACAGCTCTTCGCTCGAGCGTAGGTCTCGTTGCTTGAGCGTGGGTCTCGTTGCTCGAGTGTGCGTCTGCGTGCACCAAAAACCTGAGAGCTTGCAATTTACGCTGAGTTACCATTCCTTTGTTCGAGCGGAGCTCTGAACAAACGATGGTCGCTCGAGCGTGGAATCCTTCGCTCGAGCGAGGAAGCCAAATTCTGAAATTTCCAAATTTGCCTCCCAAGCTCAAACCAAGCATTCAACACCTCAAAACTAGACCTCTTGGGCCCATTTTCTGGAAAACACTTGTAAACTCATAGTATAAGATGTTTCAAAGATCAATTTGTAAAATCAAAGCCCAAAGGTGAGTCAATTGAACATAATTTCAAATAAAATATCAAGAACATAACTTAAATGTAACATGCATGAATTCTCATGACTTCTAATGCTCCAAAACATGATCCAAAACAAGATTAAGTTCAAGAATAGGATGAATTCATGGACTATAACAAAAATGTGGACATGCATATGGAAATTCATGAAGAACAACTCCAAAATCCAAGAATATATGCATGCATACATGAAGTCACTCTCAAATCCAACTCTTAAAACCAATTCTAGACTTTAAACTCTAATCTTCCAAGAACCATGCAAGAATTAATCTTAAATTCACAATTGAAAGGGAAATCTCCTACCTTAAACCTTGAATTCCAAGCCTAGAAGCTCAAATATGCAAGCTACTCTTCAATTTTCCTAAGCTCCAAGCCAATCCTTGATGAATTCTATTTTCTCCTAATTCTCCCTCTCTCTAGTCGGTTTTGGGCTAGATGAAATGAACAAAAGATGCAACACAAGTAAATCAAGACTATACAATTGGTCTAGCAAAGACCACTTAATGGCATTTTGGTAAATAAACCATCTAATGTAATTTAACACTATTTATTCTAATTTAATCATACCAAATCAAATTTTAACTAAATTTATCATAAAACCACATTGACTCTAATTAACACAAAATACTAATCAATTTTGGATTTGGTCGCCGATAAAGCCTTTAATTTGCAATTTAAAACATAAAACATGAACAGATCATTTTATGGCAAACAGATAAAAATAAAAAGATAATGCAATACATATGCAATTTAATTCTAGATTCCTTCTAAATTACTGTTAGGCATAACTAATCATGGTTTAGCATTAATCGAAGGTCAGGGTTATTACAAAATGTTTCTTTATAGTCAATCTCATATTCTTGAGTAAATCCCCAGACAACATGATGAGCTTTGTAATGCTCAATGGAACTGTCAGAATGAGTTTTGATCTTGTAAACCCATTTGCAACTAACAATACTCTTTTTAAGTGGAAGGTTAACTGCATCCTAGGTATGGGTGTTATCTAAAGCTTACAACTCATCAGTCATAACTTGTTGTCAAAGAGGGTTAAAACAAGCCTCTCGATATGAAGTAGGTTCATATGAAGAAAACACAGTGGAACCAACAATGAAATCATGAAGAATGACAAAAGGTTGTGTTACCCGAGTCAAATGACGAAGAGATACCTCTGATGCAGAAGATGATGTAATGGAATCAAGACATGCATGACGCTCACTGTGAGAGGGAACGAAAACAAGAATAGGAGGTGGAGTAGGAGTAAGAGTAGGAGTAAGCTCAGGATCAGGGAGTGAAGCAGCAGAACTAGGAGGCGAAGCAAAATCCTCAAGATAGGCCAGAGTCATCATGTCAGAAGTAGGGTCTGCATCAAGCTCATCAAACAGAAGAGAGGGATCTGTAAAGAATGGTGTAGTTGGGGGAGTGGATAAACGAAACTTAGATATAGAAGAGAACATCTTGTGTTCCCAAAAGGCCACATGACGAAAGACATAGAGATGACGAGAAAGAGGATCATAACAACGATAACATTTATGTTCAATCTCATTCCCCAAGAAACAACACAAACAGGTACGAAGTTCTAATTTGGTACGCTTATATGGCTAAAGAAGAACAAAACAAACACATCCAAATACGCAAAGACTAGTATAGGCAGAATGTGAGCCATACATGCGCTTATATGGGGTTTGATTGTTGTTAGTAGAAGAAGGGACACGGTTAATAGTACAGATGGTTATGAGAGAAGCTTTCTCCCAAAAACATTCAAGACAAAAAGAAGAGATTAAAATAGCACAGACAATGTCTAAGATATGATGATGCTTGCGTTCAGTACGACCATTTTGTTGGGAGGTACTAGGACAGGAACAGTAAGAAGATGTACCATTCTGACGAAGAAATCTTAAAAAATGAGTTTCTTTGTATTCTTGGGCATTATCAACACAAAAAATTTTGATGGTGAAAGAAAACTGAGTTTTGACCATTTGTGAAAAATCATAGTATATTTAGTGTAACTCGGGGCGAGATTTCATAAGAAATAACCAAGTAAAACGAGTGAAATCATCGACAAATATGACAAAATATTTAGATCCCTCTATAATGGTATTAGGTGAAGGCCCCCAAATATCAAATTGTATGAAATCAAAAGGTGCATGAAACATAAAGGTACTAGTATTAAATGGTAAAGTATGTTGTTTTGCAAGTTGACATGATAGACAATGTGCTTTATCATTTGGAACAACACCTAACTAACCACTTGAACTAGAGATCGTAAACGACCAAAAGACACATCATCTAACTGAGAGTGCCATAAAGTAAGAGGGGAACTAGTAGTGGCAGGAGCAGCAGTCTCGAGTGGAAGGATTGGAAGAGGGAATGCAAAGGTAAATGTGCTTGTATAGACGTCCATGTCTACGACCTATCTCAAGGGTTTGTCTTGTCTTCGGATCCTACACAACACAACTAATTAGAGAAAATAGAACAGTGAGACCAAGATCACAAAGTTGACCAATTGAAATAGGATTAAGTGTAAGATTGGGAATCAGATAAGTGTAAGGAAGAGAGACATTAAAAGTGGAAATATGACCGATATGACTAACATGCATTTGAGAGCCATCAACAGTGTGAATGATGGGTAAATTAGAAGAAGATGTAGTAGATGAGAAAAATTGTAGGGTCAGAGGTCATATGGTTGTAACAAGCTAAATGAAAATACCAAAAAGCGATATCTAGAGTGACTGAGATAAGAGTAGAGGGTGTACCACTGTCACAACCCAAACCCGCCCCTATGGGTTTAGCACCGTAACTGGCCAGTAATCCGAGATTACCGAAGGCCTGCTTAACAGTAATACAGTAATACAGAGTACAGGGGCTAGCGGAAGCCAATACAGTAATTAAACAATGTCCAATGAGC